CTGTAACTCCTGGCAAAACTAACCAAGAGAGCAAGCAGATTATTTAACATAAAATCTCCTCAATGTAATATAAATCATATGTTACCGCTATCTTGCATAGTTCCTTTTTCTAACGGAGATTCTATGAATAAGTAATACTAGTTAACTGAAATGTCATCAATTTATTTCCTGATTCAGGCTCTATCAAATACATTAATGGTGAAATGGCCAAAAAGGGTTAGTGACAAAGGTTTTGGAAAATCCTGTAGAACTAATTCAGAATCAAACTTGAGCATACAAATAGATTCACTGCTGTGAGTGTCCATTGAAAGGATAGGTGCATAAAATATGAGCATACACTCTGACGGAGAAACATCCCATGAGACTTCGTAAAGAAAACTGACATTTAAATCCAACAGTGTGTTAATGAAGGGGTACTCTTGTGATTAGATAACTACATGGTATTGTCTTTATCCTAAACATAGTTTTCACAAACACAAAGTGATATGCTCTGTGTATGTGTGTATATGTAAAACTATTTATAGGAACATACAATTTAGTTCAGAAATAGAAAAGAACATGAAGATATCATACAAGTCTCTCACACAAAAATAATCAAATGGCCTTAATAAACAGAAGGTGTTTTCACAGTAGAAGAATAAGAAAATCCATATTAACCACTTTGTTCCCGCCATTCTGCTTCATTAGAAACATTCTTCATTTTCATTGTACATTAATGACACAAGAATTCCCTGAATCCCAATAAACTTACTCAGATAAACACAACATGGTTTTCTTTTAAAATAAGCCTTTACTGAATATATCAACAAGGTACTGTATAGTGTAGAGTGAAGTTGGTAGTTAACAAAGTGTGTGACATGGTAGGTCTCAGAGGAAGTATGATGCAGAATCTTCCAGCCCCTTGCAGTCCCTTGTCAAGAAAGAACGCTCTAAACACAAACCAGAAGCAAATCAACATTATGATTCAAACAATAACAAATCATCAGGATTAACTTTCAATGAGTATATATTAGTCATATGAGGGACATGCAGTGGTAATACCTCACCTTGCCTCATTCAGGGCTCTGGAAAATCCTATGAGACTAATGAATTACTAATCTTTCATCCCATGGATACTTTTACAAATGCCCCCATGTATCTGCATGTGCACACATGTGCATGTCTTATACTAATTTAAAAATGCCTGTTGCAATGGTCTTGCTTTGTGCTCTTCTAGTGAGTGTGCAGCTAGAAAATTAAAAACTATAATGAAAGAATCTGATTCATTAAAACAGTATCTTACGTGTACAATAACACTTTCCCCACATTCAGTGAGAAGCATCCCCCATTGCTAGCAAGTGCCCTGCAACCCTGCTGAAGAAACTGGAGAAGGATTTAAGCTACAATTTCCTATCATTAGGATTTTGACATAAAGAAGAGCATTAGGCAAGATTTGAGAAGACCAGGAACTGGGAGTTGTTTTTTTTCATGTATGTCTCACTTCCCTGTTGGGCACACTTTTCTGCTTTGTTTTACCACACAGCTGGAAAAGTTAAGAGCAAATGTGTTATTCTCATGTTCTAAAGTAAAACAGAATGTCTCCTTGTTAGAGGTTAGAGAAAATGCTATGAACAAAGACACTGATGGAAATTAACCACTTCACTGTCAACAGCTACAGTGCTATAGTTGCGATTTGCTGAACAAGTGCAGCACCTGCTCTCACAGACTACAAAGGTGCCTTGTGATGTGAATGGATGCTTTGCTCACAACACGAAGAGCTTGTCTTCCCCAGAGAGGAAGGAAGTTCTGACTTGTGTGAAATGACAAAGACCACTATGACCCGCACTCCTAGGAAATGGAACTGTAATATTAGCTACTTCATTAATACTTTTTATCAGACTGGTCACAATATACTTTTTGTTTGTAACCTCAGAGAAAATGTCTAATATAGTTGCAGCAAACATCTGGATTATTAGAAACTGCATTATTTCTCACAAGGGAGAATGTTTTCCATTCGTTACACAAGGAAAATGGAAGGGGAACACCCTTGTCTCTGTCTGGGATTGTCCCGTGCGATGTGCTACAATACATTTGAGTGTTTTAGTGGTGCCCAGGATCTCTCAATAATCAAATACATCTCTGTAAATGAGGAAGTGTTAGCAACTACACTCAGTATGAATAACTGTCAATAACATCTGTGTGGCTATGGCTATGCCTTTTCCTGCTGGAATGTATCCTCTACAGTGACAGCTACTATAATCTGAAAGGCGTCGGACACTATCTGAGATTCTCTCAGATCATCAAGGTCTTTATAAGCCAGTAAAGGTTGCTTTGTCCAGTGATCTTAGCAACACTTTCAACTTTGATTCTTGACTAATCACCTCAAAATACATTATGTTTTTGGCAAGACAAACCCAAATACAGAGTGGATATATCTGAAAAACACATTCTTACAACTAAAAATGCCAAAACATAATTCATGATTGATCAGTTTTCAAAGATGCATTAGATATTAGATATTAGATTCCATGATGTGCTTTCCATCCTGATGTAGGTGAGAGCCCAAATGTGTTACAACAAATGGGAGACTTATTTTAATTGTAGATGCCTTGGTCATGGTGCTCATAAGATCTTTTCAGGAACACCTTCTAACAGAATATGATTATTCAGACCAGTATTTCACATGACTGGATCTCCATTATACCACTTAAACTACAATAATTCAGCAGATGCCATATGATATTGTAGTAACCTCTACATTCTTATTCTTCCTGGGACAAAGCAAAGAAGTTCCAGCAGCCAAAATCCAACTGGGAGTTGAACATACAATACAAATAAATGAGAATGATTATTTTGTGTATAACAAATAAAAACCCTCAAGAGTCAAAGTACCATTATTTCAACACAAGGTTTTATCTACACAGCCAAGGGGAAGCGAACAGTGGAAGGGAATTATCCAGCTAAGCACACAAAACCCTATGTCATTGTCTGATTTTAGATGGCTTACTGATATACTGATCACCTTCCAGACTGTCTTTTCCCTTCACTGTGTGGACCTGACTTAAAAAAAAAAAAAATTGACAACCCAAACCCTCTAGCTAGCAGACTAAAAGGAAAACCAGAGTCACTTTAGAATTAATTTAGATTAATTCATAGCTAAGTTCAGCTCTACTGACTGCACAGTTTCAATTCTTTTGTCTACAACATTATAGCTTCATTATATTTTCTTCTTACTTTGAGGATTGAGTGAGATTAAAACATATAGGTTGGGGTATATTATGAAAGAAAATAAAGCTCTTACTATAAAGAAAAACTTGCATAGCATTTTATACCTAAACTTTTACAAAGAAGACACATCACAGTTTTATTTTGCTTAAAGAGAGAGAAAGCAAGACTATTATGACATTTACTTCATGAGTCCCTAAAATAATGGCCAGTTGTAAAGGAAACACACAGCACATAGTGAAATGACTAAATGTGATTTTGAAAAGAATTTTCCAAGGGTGTATTTTTTAGATAATATGTGTGATCTATAGCCCTTCTACATCTAAGGGATGACAAGAATTAGAGTAAATTATATGTTTTTTCTGAAGATGGACTTGCTTCAAAAATATCTAGATTTGAGCACAGACATCACTCTCTTCTGTCCTCTGCTTTTTGCCCTGCTCTGCCAAGATTAGGGGAAACCTTCATTCTCTAACATGTTCATTTTTCATTGGTGGTTCTTCTAATGAAAGGTTAATTATCACTCCACTATTCCAAATTTGAGGAAAATCCACAGGTGAAAGGGAACAAAAGGAAAAAGTGAAATTTCAAATCTGCAATAGAATTAAAATCAGTCCAAGGTGGAAACCTGGTATTGCTTTTTAAAAATATGCATTCTTTTGGTCAGCTTTGATGTATCCTTGAAAAATTATTAACAGTGAAAATCAGTATTCATTTTAATACGTATAAGTTCATATGGATATTTTGTGCAACCAAGACTGGCATCCACAATTTTTTTCCAAATACTGAGCAGAGGAGGAAAAAACAAAGGTGGTATATTCAACTAAATTACAAAAATCTATGGAAGATGGTTGGAAGACAAGAATTTGAGAGGGGAGATAGGTATTAATCTAAGCTATTTCAACATGATATCAACAAAGTTGGTTGATACAGTATAATAGAAACAGTGATCAGTTGTTTTTGTCTAATATCAGTAATTTTTAAATAAACAGTTCATTTTAATATATTCCAAACATTGTTCCTTTGTTGGACTAAATATCATGTTGATATAGCATCAGTGAAACTACCCAAATAATTCTCATTATCAAAAATAATTCCATTCAATATAACTCTTCCCATTATTTTATTAGCCTCTTCTAAAAAAGTATTCTAGAATATATCTCTGTTGAATGTGATTCAACCTGACAAATGACTGAATAGTGTCACCTTTTAAGGGAGTAGTCTTGCTTAGACTGATCATTCTGGACCCTAAAGATGACTGAAATAAGATTCAAGTCTATAACTCTGTTATCACATAGGGTCAGGGAAGCATGAAGAGTGATTTTGAAGTGCCCAGTTAAAAAGCCAACCTCTTGGTTGGAAGGTCTTTCCAAATCTCCTCTCAATGTTGTTGATTCTGCCAGGTTGGGTTAACTTGCCTCATGGGAACTGGCTTCCTTGTGATGCTCTGTGCATTTCTTGCACGAGGTCAAATCAGAGTAACTACTTCCACACCTCCATTCTTATACTATGGATTTTTTTTTTTACTTTTTTTCCAGACAAGGAGGTACAGAAATAGCATGAAAATATCTGGGCCATTTCTTGCTTTACTAATATTCTTCTTCTTACCCTGCTGAATCCATTTGAATCTGCCCTTTCATCTGACCATTAGCTCTAGGAAGGGAATTCATTCTGACAGCTTCAACAGCAAAGTGGTTAATGTGCATCATAGGGAAGAATCACCTGTTCTTCTGCCTTGGCATTGGGTTCTTATTGTACAACCCTGTACAGTACTTCAGCAACTATTTTTTTTAAGATTTAAAAAGCAAAGAGTTACAAAACTGTTTGTAATTAACTTGAAATAGAAAAGATAGCACTTTTTTTTAAATCCCATTATATAGTACACCGTATAAATTACAGAGTATTCAAATGCACAAATGCATCTGTGTAACATTTATCAAATGTAATTTGCGTGTCTTTATGTGCACATACGTATGTGTTCTCAAGCGTTCGGTTGTCCGCCACTACAACACTGGGCCTCTAGCTGTTACGTATGGCAGTGCTCCAGGTCTGGCACACTGCTGCTGCAGTATCGCATGTTGTTGGGGATATGGCAGTCTGTGTAATTAATGCCCCCATTTGGGGTGTAAATGGGTTGCAGTCTGAAATCTCCTTTAAGGAGCTGATCATTATTTAAGGAGACAATCTGAAAACTGGTTTCTGTCATCTCCAAGATGGAGTTGTCCTTCTTAGTGCCTGCCTCACAATAGTCATCTTTCCGCCGGCCCCGGTTGTATTTCCACTTCTGGGAGGTGTAGCGCCCCTTTTTGTGCATGTGCCAGCAAAAGACACTGAGCAAGACCACGAGCACAAATATCACTGCACCCCCAATCAGGCCTGCCAGCAGAAAGGGGGAACCCAGGCTGTGGGAGGTTGTCTGCTCATGGCTGGATGCAGTGTTGCTGCCATTGTTCAAATAGGAGGCATGGGTGGTGGCCTCGGAGCAGATGGTATCTTCTACAGTGCGGTAGTTAAATGCATCCAGGGGCACTAAACAAATCCGGTAGGTGGATCTAGGCTCTAAATTAACCAGGCTCAGATGTTGCTTCTCACCACTTACTATGCGTTCCTGAACGATACCACCTACCAGACTATGGCCCATTTTCACCCATGTGAGTTTGTACGCCATCACAGTAAAGAGAGAGAGCCAGCTGACCTGAATTGAAGTATCGTTCACAAAATGGACAGAAAGCTGGATCCGGTCAGAAATAGGCGGGGTCACTCTTTCCCTCCCATCCCAGTCAGGAACGGTGGGGAGTGTTGATGTGGTAGGAGGTGGAGGCGTATAACCTCTACTGGGGGTTGGAACAGAAAGAGTGGGAAGCTGAGTTGATGGAGAAAGTGTACTTGGGGCTGCGGTAAAAAGAGGCAGGCCAGGGGTCGTAGTCGGACATGACAAAAGATTCATATTCAACTCCCTGACAGCCATCCCACGGACCTGCTCAGGACCCTGGCACATGAAACCTCGCACATTGAGAGAGGAGGGGATATATTTGAGCCATTCTGTGACCCATTTAATACTGCAATCACAAAACCAAGGGTTATTCCGAGCAGTGAGCTGCTTCAGGTTGGAGAGGTTATCAAAGACCCCTTGAGTCAACATTCGCAGTTGATTGTTGGATATATCCAGCCTTTCCAGCTTACGGAGGTTTGAGAAGGCCGTCAAAGGGATGTGGTTTATTTGGTTGTCCTGCAGATACAGCCTGATCAGATGTGTACCTGGGAGATCGAGAGGGGGGTGGGAGAGTGAATTACGGACAATTGAAAACTCCTTGAGCTTGGTGAGATGACTGAAGGTGCCTTCAGCAATGCCCTTGTTGGTCAGGAGATTCCCGTCCACAATCAGACGCTCCAAGCTTGTGAGGTTCTGAAAGGCCATGTCCGATATGACGGCAATTCGGTTTTCATCCACTCTCAGCTCTTGCAAGTCTACGGGAAGCCCAACAGGCACACTGCTCAGGTGGTTCTTAGACAAAAACAATAATTTGAGGCTGATGGCCTCCCGGAAAGCCCCGTCTTCCACCCCCACTGTGGATATGGAGTTGTCATCCAAGTGCAGCTCTTCCAGCTTCAGGAGCTGGGCGAGAGCAGCCCGGGAGATGGTCTGGATATTGTTTTCCTGCAAGTGGAGGACTCTGACGTTCTTGGGAAGGTTCATGGGGAATTCATCCAGTTGGTTGCCATAAAGGTAGACCGTGTGCACTGACTTTACATTGTGCAGCTCTGCAGGAAATCCAGCATTATTAATTTGGTTGTTGTGGAGGTAGAGTACGGTTACGCCCTCCGGGATCCCAAGAGGCACTGAGGTCAAGCTTCGCTCATTACAGTAGACAAAGTTCCTATCACAACGGCACACACTAGGGCAGGCCAGGAGTTTTGATACTTGTGAGTAGAGCCCCAAGGAAATAAGAAGCCAAGATTTCAGAAAAAAAGCCCCATGCCTGGGCCACATTGTGGTCTGTAGGCCCATTTCTGAAGTACAGAAATACAACACAATGTGATGGGGAAAATTAAAAAAAAACAAAAACAAAAACAAAAAACAGATAGTAAAATCAAAATGATTGGACAGGGTTCTGACAAAGTCCAGAACTCCAGCTAGAGGAAATGCCCTGAGGGCATGCAGTAAAATAATCTTCCTGATGTCTCTGATCTGATCAGCCTGTGTTGCCCTCTTTGCTGTTGTCCTCCATGTGCAAAAAATTCAATAGGGAGAATTTCCACACAGGCAATGGGTGATGACAAGTTATCAGCAGTGCCAACACAGTAGGCAGAACTCACTTCTGTTGTAGATCAGGACAGCATGGATCAGCCTACGGATGTCTTAATTAAGCACAATCGGCAATCTGCTGTAGGAAAGAAGAGAGAAGAGTCAATTGAGGGTAGTAATGGAAGAAGTACTAATATGACTGTAAGCCTTTCAACAACGATGTGAACTGGACTAAGTATTTGGGGCAGGTTGGCATGAAGTGGTATTTTAAATAATAGTAACTTAGTTGAAAAGGCAGTCAAGAAAATATCTAATCACCAAAAGTAAACCCTACTGTTACTTTTCACTGTCAATAGTCACATTCTGAATTTTACATCCAAATCAAGACCTTTTCTTAAATATCTATTTATATACCCAAATACACAAGTGCAATAGACATACTGCAAATTCATGGGGAAATTTAATGATAATCATTCACAAATCTTACTGGTCTTCTTTTAAGATGGATATGGTATTGAGCAACTAGCAAAATTCAAGGGAAAAATGGGAAGCCCTAAAGAGTTACAAATCTTCAACAAACAAAATTTTAAATATTCATATGTAACTAAAATATTCCTCCAAATGCATTAATATTTCCAAATACATTCATCATATATGATCTTTCAAAGACAATCTACTTCAAAAAAGCCATAATTTCATAAATTTACATCTCTTGAAATGTATTTTAAAATTCTGATACAAATGTTTTTTTGCTTAATAGAGAATTTTAGAGAAGGCATTATAAGGGATAGAGAATAAAAATAATAACGACTATTAATTACATTATCACCCAGAGATAATTTGATGCTCTTTATTACCTCATTTATCTATGCACACACATAACACAAGTGGTATCATTATTTATCTTCCCTTTTGTTACCTGACAATATGTCACAACCACATTCCAGTCACTGTTATAACAACATATAAACACAATGCACAGAAGCCCATTTGAAGGCAAAGACCTCTCTTTTCTTCCTCACTTCTTGCCCTGTTCTCTTTTGTCTTCCTCCAAATAGCTTATACTTGAGTAACCAAGGAGACTGACCAAACTCCAGTACATGACACATTTCCACTTATGCCCTCCTTTGGGACCCAAGGTACAGATGAGATCTTCTATTCTGATCCCTTTAAGAGTTGCCAAGCTCAGGAATGAGAATAAGTTGTTTTTCAACACTGCCACCTTCCTGTTTGTGAATGTTTTCTTGCTTTTGTAGAAGGACTTTTAGCAAATTTTGAAATGATAGAAGACACAATTAAGGGAGTTAAGGCAATCCATAGATAGCAATCATGTCTCTTTGCTCCAGAATGTGTTCCATCTGTTTTTAGATTAGAGAGGTAAAGAAATTAATTGAAAGGTGCCAGATTTGATTTCCCTACAAAATAAGCTAACATGACAGGACATGATGAATCACAAGTCTCTTAATTCTCACCCATGCACAGAGATTGGAGCAACGTCTACTTAAAAGCTCAGAGAGTATATTGAAACTGTTCCCTTAGCTATTTTTAGAAATATAATTAAAAAAGAAAAGAAACACTGTAAGTGTTATTTAAGTGTCAAGGATACTATAAATTTGCTCTGTAATTTAAAAGGTTTTAACTGAACTAAAAAATTTCTCTGATGACCAGAAATAGTAAAAATACTTTTTAATCCGCAGAAATCCTTTAAGGAGTGTGTGGGGAGATTGTCTCTTTCCAAGCAAAACCAGATATGTGAGATGCTTTATTACAATTCAAGTAATTAAATCCTTACAACTAGGGTTTTGCCACTGAAAGGAGTCATTCCCTCTAAAAAAAATGTCTCTATATGCTTAAATGATAATTCATACAACTAAGGGTATTATGGCAGTGTAGAAAAAATGAATCTAACCCAATGTGCTTGATGTTACCCTTAGCTCAGGTTTCAATGCATCTTCATATTTCCTACTGCCTTGCTACTTGCCTTTGGTCCAGTCACATGAACCTGACTTCAGAAATGTAGAGAAATATGAAATCTCAGTATCAGAGTGTGCATATTAGCAACCTTGGCTGGGCACATTAAAGTTGGAGAAATGTTGCCCTAAACACAGTGATGCCTTAATTAATCATTCATGTTTCAATTTATAAAATGTAAAATAAATGCAACAGCATGTCAGATGGCTCTTCGAGAAGAGTAAAGAAAGACATGCTTGTCCTTTTTTGTCCTCAAGAAATAACCTTAAATTACATTTTTCACATAAATTGCATCTTCTAGGTGGTACCAAGTATTGACTATAAATGTCACTTGTCCACAGCAGAAAATGTTGATCTCAATGAGAGGTAATTATAAGGTAATTAAGAACATTTTCTCTAGAGCTAGGGTTGTAGCTCAAGTGGTAGCATGGTTGTCTAGCCTGTTAGCAAAAGTGAGGCCCTGAGTTCAATCCCTAATACTATCAACCCCTCTAAATAATACATTCTTCAGAAGAGGTGAGAAAGTAACATAAAGAATAAAATAGGATGATTTGAGTATAGGATTCCACTCAATTCTTCAAATAATGATAAAAGCACACAATGAATAGAATTTCCTAGGTGAGAAAAGTCCCTGTTATAGATAGGTTCTCTAAGTTCCTATGTAAAAGGACACATGCTTTTAAGTCTTTGTCTCCTTATATAAAAAATGAGTATCCTAATAGTCAACGAACAGCACTGCTGAGATTAAATAATATTTGTGAAAAGTATATATAGTTCCTTAGCATAACAAGAATATAATAAATATAAGACATTATTCTGTATAATTATTACTGTCAATGATATCCAAAAAAGTAAACTCAAATATGTAGAATAGAATAACATCACCTATGATCTGCTAAGTTCTGTGCATCTTCACCTACAAGATTGAGAGTCTCTCAGTCTCGATACTGGTAATGTTTTGGGTTAGGTAATTCGTTATGAGGCTGCAGTATGCATACATAGATGTCTTCAGACATTATTGCCATATATATTTCTTGAGGATGATAAAATCGTCCCACTGAGAACCACTGACCTATGTCAATGTACAAGTGCAATACCATTACTAATTTGCTAGAGGAAATTAAATTTTGATGAACATGATCTAAAAATGTTCCATGTCATGTATAACAAGAAAGTTTGAAGATGTAATATGCTTTTCATTCACTTATTCAATCAATATTTATTGGGCACTAGAATGAAGACACTAGTGTGTACAGAGCCTATGTGACTTTTGGCTTCATAAGGTTTAAAGTTTGGTGAGGGGAGAGAAATGACTAAACTTGGGATTAGGACACTAGGAAAAAGGAATAAATTTAGAGCACCAGGTAGTTAGGTAGTGTGGAAAGAGCTCTAACCTAATCTACGATGTATCAGGAAAAACAAAAATACTCTAGAGGAAGGACTGTCTACTAAAGATCTGAAGGATAGAAAGCCTCAAGCCCCCTGGTTCATTTAAGGATTTTGCATGTGGATCCAAGCTGCTTGAAATTTGAATCAAGAGATGGAACCAGGTGAGCTCAGAGAAGGAATAAAACTTCCACTGTGCAGAGCACTCTCTTCTAACTCTTTGTTGTGCTTCTAGAAAATAATAACTAAACCCATGTTTCAAAATCACTAGGTACTTCATTTACACTTCATAAATGAGTTAGAAATACTAAGAGAAAACTCTCTTTCCAATTTGTTTGAATACTGAATTGAATATGTTTTCTCCTTTATGAAACCAGAGATTGTGAAGAACAATTACCAGGTTAAAACAGAAAGTTTTACTTAAAGACAGGTAACGTAGTTTTAAAAGCGTGAGTGTAAGTCAGCATTTAATAAATGCTCTTTGCGGACAATGAGAACCTGGCCTTGCCAGTCTCATATATATGACAGAAACCGTTATTCCAAGCTACTTTGCATTAATTTAACTCTTTTCAGAAGAACTGAGACGCAAAGCACATAAATCATGTAAAAGCTTACTGCAAAATGTTTGTCTTAATACTACCTAAGAATTTTTTTCTTAATTTATTCCAGAAGCTTGTATTCCAGGAGTGCTTAATAAACTCAGACTATAAAAAGCATAGTACAGAAAATAAGAACTGTCAATAAGCACTGCCAATAGCATAACATAACGACACCAGGACAAACCTAATAAAATTGTAATGGTTTAAGCATTGGCTGGATTGTGACACGACAGCATGGTGCACAAAGTGATATGAATGAGAAAGCTAACTGAACAAGGATTCTCCTAGAAAACTATACTAGGGTCATGTATGACTGAGTTTCTGCAGTGAAGCAATTTGTCTTAAATCAGACCTTTGAAGTTACCAAATCCAAATCCATAAACCCAGCTATGTTATGAATGTCTCTGTTGTAAGCTGGAAATGCATATTTCTACATTCCTTTGGACAGGTTATAAATACTGTTTATATAACAATCAGACAGTTCTATAGTTAGCTGGTCAAGATGGAGAGTTTAGCAAAGGCATTTGAGGAACAGAACAATAGCCACCCTCTAACTTGGAACCTTTTTCCGTCTCATTCACTGGGCCAAGCCTCTTCAAATTTCTTATTAGATGAATATTTTTCATTGCCAATGCAAAGAGAGAGAATGAAGGGGAGCAGGAAAGAAGAAAAGAAAGAGGGAAGGAAAAGAAGGGAATACTTTATTTAAACAGTGAACAATTTCCTGGCTCCAGTCAATCTAGAATTGAAAACATTTAATTTTTTTTTTTAAAGCTAATGTGGCAAAGCACAAAATACTCCGACACAGTTGAAGGGTTGTTCTCACACTGTTTCCATTTGGTTCAATAGTAGAGACAAGTTTAGACAAAACAATCAAATGCATATGTTATAAAATCAAATGCATACATTTTGGGGACACATTCACTACTGTCACACACCATGCTCAATCTATTAGGGCGCTACCATGGATTGTTCCACGATCCCTTTAAATTGTGAGGCTGCATGATAATGGTTTCTTTTGATACCAACCACCCTTCCACATGTAGGATTGATCCAGAAGTTGAAATGCTCAGTTGTCTTGATGCCCTGAAAAAAATTTCTGATAGCCACTGGCTGGGTAGTTGGTTTCCAGTCATGAATAAATATAGTAAAGCAAATTTCAGAGGGAAAAATGTGAATT